AGAATAATAGGGAGGAATAAGCAGAGGAGGTAAGCAGGGTCTAGCTCAGGTAGGGTTTTTGGTAAGACCTCAATAAAGAGTTTTGTGTTTTATTCTGGTTTTAGGAGGAAGTCTTTAAAGAATAGATATCAGGGAGTATTTATTATCTGATTTACCTTTTACAAAAATTACTTTGCTTGTTGGGTGAAGAAGGAACTGAAAAGGGTTGAGAGTGGGAGTTGTGAGACTATTGCTGGTGGAAATGGAGTCCTTGTGGTGTCGTGACAAAAGCGTTTTTGGGGAGCCACATGAGGGGATGAGGTCTGGTGGTAAGATTTATTTGGGTGGAAATAGAAGGCTGCCCCCAGGTTCCCAGTGCCTCATCTCTTCCTGTCATGGAAGAAGTCCAGCCAGAAGTTCTGTGCCATGCCTTAGCAATAACAGGATTTTTGTAATGTTTTTCAACTCTATTTAGGAATCCCTTTAGTTTTTTTTATTCTCAAGTTCAAAATATGTTGTATGTTCCAATGAGTAGTTTTATTTTTAAAAATAATTTTTATTGATTTCAAAGAGGAAGGGGGAGAGAGGGGGAGAGAGAGAAAGAAGGAGAGAGAGAGAGAGAAACATTAATGATGAGAATCATTGATCAGCTGCCTCCTGCACGTCCCCCACTAGGGACCAAGCCTGAAACCTGGGCATAAGCCCTGACCAGGAAATAAGCCCTCCTGGTTCATAGGTTGATGCTCAACCACTGAGCCACACTAGCCAGGCTTATTGTTTTACAATAGGAACTGTGAGTACTCCATTCAAGATGGTTTGGGGGTGTAATGGATCTTGTGCATTTTCATGTGAATTTTATAATTGGTTTGTCAGTTTCAGCCATTAGGGAAAAAAAGATAGCTAGAGGTTTTATTGGGATTGTGTTGAAATCTGTAGATCAAGTTTGGGAGTACTGCCATATTAACAGTATTAAGTCTCCCAATCAGCGAACACAGTATTTTCCTATCTTTTTTTTTTCTTTCAACAATGTGTGATAGTTTTCAGTGTACAAGTCTTACATTTCTTTGCTTAATTTTTTCCTCTGTTTTCTACTTGATGCTCTTGCAAATGGAATTGTTTTTTACATTTCATTCTCAGATTGTTGGATTAAAAAACAATTGATTATTGGTCTTATATGGTTCTACCTTGCTGAACCTGTTTATTACCTTTTAATGCATCTATGCTCTTTTTAAAAATTTAATTCTTTTTATAGCTTCTTGCGTCTCTGCATGTTAGGCCATTTAGTATCAGTTTTTTCTAATTCATTTTAAGGCCATCCATTTCTGCTAATTACTGATTTAGCCACAAACATCTTAAAGCATTGTAATTGTGGTTCATTTCTAATTAAGCATTTTCTTTCCAAACCAATAATATTTTACCATTTCCAAGTGTTTACCGATTATATTTTTATTGTTAATACTAGTTTAATTACATGGAGATTAGAGTCTGTGTCTGGTATGATTTTTCTTTTGAAGTTTCTGACTTACTTATTTTTTTAGATTTGTAAGTTAACACTGCTCCACAAGCAGCAGAGTAGGAGTGTTTTTGGAATAAAATCCCTAATAAACCAGTTGGGACCAAAGCATCCTCTGTTTTGTTTTGTTTATTTTTTACATAGTAGCTAGAATACCTTTCTTGCATGTTAAGATTAAACCTTTCTCTGACTGCCTAGGTAGTGAGTTTTGTGCTATTTTATCATATTCAGAAATGTTTTTAAATGTCTTTGCAGCCACAAATAAGAAGAGTAATTCACCCAAGCCAGCTCGGTCCAGTATAGCAGGTAGTCTATCACTTCGAAGAGCAGTAGACCCTGGGGAAAATAGCTATTCAAGGGGAGACTGTCAACCTCTGTCTGAAGGTAAATTTGAAGAGTTCAAAATGTAATTTTCATGGGTAGAAAACTGTTATTCAGAATTGATCTTACATATAGCTTTAGACTCTACTATAATGCTGAAACGTGATTCAAAACTTCCTTGATCTCACAACAGATTAATTAGAGCCATCAGTAAAAAAAAAATGCAGCCATTAGGTTGCATATTCTGGGTGCCTTAATTTTAAACAGTTGGCATCAAAAAGATTATGATATATTTTAAAATTATTTTTGCATTTTCCTATAGTTTAAAAATGTATGATAAGATCTGAAGTGGAAATCTGAGAGAGAACATTTTGTTTTCCTTTTATCTGAATATCCCCTTCCTTTTCTGTAGTTTCCCCAGGAAGCTCTCAGTCTGGGAGCAGGCACAGTTCTCCCCGAGCCTTGACACATGGCAGTTTCGGTGATATTCTGCCGAAATCTGAAGACCTGCAGAGTCAGGCTTTGGATTCAAATGCTATTGTGGTTGCAGTTATCAATGGCTTACCTGCTGTTGAGAAAAGGAGGAAGATGGTCACCTTGGGGTAAATTAAGTTTTTTGTTTATGAAATGAGATAATAGCTTCATAACGAACAAAATAAATTTCTAGTATGTTAATTTTTTAGCAGAGAGAAAGTTCATTTGTTGTATTAAAGTGCAACTTTTAAAGTATCAGAAACCTGCCCTGACCAGTGTTGCTCAGTTGCTGCCCCCATACCAAAGGGGCTCTGGTTCAATCCTTAGCCCCAGTTGGGATGCATGCTGGAGGCAACCAACCCATGTGACTTTCTCATATCAATGTTTCTCTCTCTCTGTCTCATTCTCTTTTCCTCTCCCTCCTTCTTTCCTACTCTCTCAAAATAAAAAAAATATATATCCTTGGGTGAGGATTTAAATAAATCTAAAACCTTACTTTTTTTTTCTTAATGGGATGATATAGTACCAGAAATTTAGTTTATGTTGGAGCTCATTTTCACTGAAGTTAGGATAATAATGGTGTGAAACCTTATATGACCTCTGCCTTCTGATATGTTTTTGTGTGTCAGCCATTTTTTTTGCCATCTGTGCCACACTTTTCAAAGACATCTTTGCTGGGCTATATTGTATCTCATAGACCTTTTACACATACTTTGTGTGGAACAAAGCACTTCTGGCAATTTTATTTTTTTATTTTTTATTTTTTTAAATGTTTTATTGATTTTCTACAGAGAGGAAGGGAGAGGGATAGAGAGCTAGAAACATCAATGAGAAACACCGATCAGCCGCCTCCTGCACGCCCCGCACTGGGGATATGCCTGCAACCAAGGTACATGCCCTTGACCGTAATCGAACCTGGGACCCTTGAGTCCTCAGGCCGACGCTCTATCCACTGAGCCAAACCGGTTCTGGCTGGCAATTTTATTTTAACACTGTTTTTTATTTCACCTTTCCTCTCCTCTTATAAAAGTGTTGTCAAAATGCATAGTTGGAATTTCCCAAAATGATATATGTAATAGCGCTTTTATCTATCTCCTAGGAAACATAAGCTCAAACCCCAGCCATGTCAATTAAACTTCCATCCCCTCAAAAGATAGAGTGATTGTCTATGAATGTGCCAGATGAGCTTTACTTAATATCCATCTGCTGATCTATTTTATGGATATTAAGTACATTTATAATTTTAAAAAAATGGAATGGTCCTACTTTGGAGACTTTGAATTAAATTTAGAGAAAGATTTACCTCTTGGTACTAACTTCATACAGTTTTAAGATCTGGACAATTACCAAAACTAAAAGGATAGCTGGTAGTTTAATTTTCTGTTTTGGCTCAAGTTGAAGCAATGGAAAGGTGTTGTAATCATTGGTGACTAACTTGTCCTCTCCATTAGTTAGCCTGATTTTATGCATGTTCCTTTCACGTTGAAGCTACAACTAGCTTTTACATTTTGTGATGGAGATATTTATGTCTGCCTTTAGCCATAAACATTAAATGTATATAAACATAGACTTTTTTCTAGACTCTAAAATTCTTTATAAGTAACTGCAGCTCTTAACTATAACCCTCATTTTACAGTTAATTATATCATCAGCTTGGGTCTTCTTTTCATTTCCTGATTTAAGTAGTGTAAGCAAAAATTTTAAATGATACTGGTTCAGAAAAGTAAGCAAAAGAAAGACTATTAAGTGAAAATTTTCCCATTTTTGTCTTCCATCTGCTTAGTTTTCCCATCCCCTGCCCACGTACAATCCTGCTGTTAATTTCTTATATATGACTAGAGGCCTGGTGCACGTATTCGTGCACGGGTGGGGTCCAGCTGGCCTGCCCCGATTGGAGCCGTTCTGGCCAGGCTGACTGGGGGGAGCAGCCGTGAGTGTTTGGCAGTCCGGCCCCGCCCCTTGGTTTAACTCCTGGTCAAGGGGATAATTTGCCTATTAGCCTTTTATTATATAGGATGTATGTGTCTTCTCAGTTTTTATGCATATTTAAGCAACTGTGAGTATATAGCTTTTTTAATACAAAAGATGCACTTGTTTTCTTAATAATATATCTAAAAAGTTTTTCCATATTGCTGAGAAAATATTATTTTGGACTTCTGTTTTTTAATTGAAATTTTTCTTGTAGATTCACATGCAGTTGTTTTTTAATTAGCATTTTTGTTGTAGATTCCATGCAGTTAAAAAAAATAATACATAGAATCCTGTATTCCTTAACCAGTTTCTCCTAATGATAACATTTTGTAAAACTAATACAATATCACAGCCATGATGTTGACACCGATGTAGTCCATTTTATAACCTTTGTAGTGAGTCCTCTAGTGAATTTTTAAAAATAAACTTGAGCCCGGCCGATGTGGTTGAGTTTCGACCTATGAAGCAGGAGGTCATCGTTCGATTCCCGGTCAGGGCACATGCCCGGATTGCAGGCTCGACCCCCAGTGTGGGGCATGCAGGAGGCAGCCGATCAATGATATTCTCTCATCATTGATGTTTCTATCTCTCCCTCTCCCTTCCTCTCTGAAATAAACAAACTTGAAATTTACTATTAGACATCAGTGGCATATATCCTCAGTTTCAGGAGAAGAAAATATACAATTATTAGTGAGTAGTTATAGAAAAATATCAAGTTGTTTTCTTCTTCTTTGAGGGCTAATGTTAAAGGAGGTCGTCTGGAAGGAATGCAAATGACTGACTTGGAAAATAATTCTGAAACTGGGGAATTACAGGCTATACTGCCTGAAGGAGCTTCAGCTGCCCCTGAGGAAGGTAAGGAATGACAAGTCATAATTAGGCAGGAGGTGGTGGTGGTGGTGGTGGTGTGGATTGGTTGGTTTAACCCTTTGTATGCCATAAGCATGTATAGACGCAATTAAATTCAAAATATCGTGGCATGTGGGGATGGTCTCCGTTTTGGACGTGTGGCAGTTAACTGGTTAATTAAAAAGTTATTGAGGCGCCCTAGCCGGTTTGGCTCAGTGGATAGAGCGGTTTGGCTCAGTGGATAGAGTGTCGGTCTGTAGACTGAAGGGTCCCAGGTTCGATTCCGTTCAAGGGCACATGCCTGAGTTGCGGGCTTGATCCCCAGTGTGGGGGGGGTGGGGGGGGGGAGGCATGCAAGAGGCAGCCGATCAATGATTCCCTCTCATCGATGTTTCTATCTATCTCTCCCTCTCTCTCTGAAATCAATAAAAGTATATTTTTTTAAAAAAAAGCTATTGAGGCAATATCTGATGTCCTTATCTAAACACAACATCTGTTGTGCCACTGAATTTTATTTACTAGGTCATTAAGCAAAGGGGAAGGCAAAATGGATACTTGATTACATTAAAGGACATGTCTTACTAGACATTTACAGGAGGGGAAAATTTATAAGATAGTTTATCTGCTTATTCAGTTAATATATTAAGCCACCTACATGCCAGTCATTGAGTTTTTGTTAGATAATGCAAAGATGAAATTAAATATATTCAGTCTTATGGGGGAGACATATGCAAAACAGTAATTAGAATATTAAGTGTTAATCCTTCATCTTTTTTTAATTAAATCTTTATTGTTCAGATTATTATAGTTGTTCCTCCTTTTTTCCCCCATAGCTCCTCTCCACCTGGTTCCCACCCGACCCGCTGCCCTTAACCCCCCCCCCCCCACTCTCCTCATCCATAGGTGTACGATTTTTGTCCAGTCTCTTCCAACACCCTCCACACCCATTTCCCCCAAGAATTGTCATTCCACTCCCTTTCTATGCCCCTGATTCTCTTATATTCACCAGATTATTCTGTTCATCAAATTATTTATTACCTTGATTTTTAGATTCACTTATTGATAGATAAGTATTTTTTGTTAATAATTTTTATCTTTACCTTTTTCTTCTTCTTCTTCTTCTTCTTCTTCTTCTTCTTCTTCTTCTTCTTCTTCTTCTTCTTCTTCTTCTTCTTCTTCTTCTTAAAGAATACTTTTCAGCATTTCATATAATACTGGTTTGGTGGTGATGAACTCCTTTAGCTTTTTCTTATCGGTGAAGCTCTTTATCTGACCTTCAATTCTGAATGCTAGCTTTGCTGGATAAAGTAATCTTGGTTGTAGGTTCTTGGTATTCATCACTTTGAATATTTCTTGCCACTCCCTTCTGGCCTGCATAGTTTCTGTTGAGAAATCAGCTGACAGTCGTATGGGTACTCCCTTGTAGGTAACTGTTTTTCTCTTGCTGCTTTTAAGATTCTCTCTTTGTCTTTTGCTCTTGGCATTTTAATTATGATGTGTCTTGGTGTGGTCCTCTTTGGATTCCTTTTGTTTGGGGTTCTCTGCGCTTCCTGGACTTGTAAGTCTATTTCTTTCACCAGGTAGGGGAAGTTTTCTGTCATTATTTCTTCAAATAGGTTTTCAATATCTTGCCCTCTCTCTTCTTCTGGCACCCCTATAATTCGGATGTTGGTTCACTTGAAGTTGTGCCAGAGGCTCCTTACACTATCTTCATATTTTTGGATTCTTTTTTCTTTTTGCTTTTCCGGTTGGGTGTTTTTTACTTCTTCGTATTTCAAATCTTTGACTTGATTCTTGGGATCCTCTAGTCTGCTATTGGATCTCTGTATAATATTCTTCATTTCAGTCAGTGTATGCTTAATTTCTAGTTGGTCCTTTTTCATATCCTTGAGGGTCTCACTAGATTTATTGAGGGTCTCACTAAATTTATCGGCGGTTTCTAGAAAATTCTTGAAAAACCTCATAAGTTTGGTTTTGAACTCTATATCCAGTAGTTTGCTTTCCTCCATTTCTGTCATTTGTGACCTGTTTCTTTGTCTCTGCATTTTGGCTGCTTCCTTGTGTTGATAGGGTGGCTTTCTATGCTAGGTGTCCTATAGGGGTCAGTGGCTCAGCCTCCCCAATCACCTGAGGTGGACACTCTTGGTGCACCCCTTTGTAGGCTGTGTGCACAGTCTTGTAGTTAAGCCTTGATTGTAGTTGGTATCACTGGGAGGAATTGACCTCCAGGCCAATTGGCTGTGAGAATCAGCTGTGTCTATGGTGGGAGAACTTCTGTGCTGGAGACACCCTTATGGGGCAAGACTTGCTTCAGTGGGGCTTTGGTGCTCAGAGTCTGCCCCCTGAGTGTGTCCCTTATGGATCTAAGGAGTTCTAATCTGGATGGTTCCACTCTGACCACTGGGTACACTGACTCTTGGATCTCTAAGGAGGTGCTAATTTAGCCTCTTCCTGAGGCTACCCAGCAGGAGCTACAGAGAGATCTGTAGATTCCTCTTCCACGTTTGGGGTTTGGGGTTTGGAGGTGCCCAGATGAGGCCCATCTGTGAAGCAATGCAAGCTGCTGTGGGGCCTTGGGCCTTCTTTTGGATGTTCTGGGACTCTCTGACCCAGCTGCAGTTTGTTAGGTAATTTTAGATTGTAAAGGGCCAGGTCATTCATATGCAAAAGCCTCTGCACACAGCTTGGGTGGGGCGGAGTCTCAGGGAATCAACAGGGCGGAGCAAACAGCTATGGCTGATCCTCAGTCCTGCCCTAAGAGGCCCGGGGTCTCAGTGTCCCGCGGTAATTCCTGCAAGCACCTCTGGAAGAAAGCCGCCCTCAAGTTCCGCCCGCTGCTAGACAGTCCAGTTTCTCCCTGTATGAGTCCTGGGTCCCCGGAGACTCACCTGGAACTGGAGTTCAGAGCGGGAGCATGTCAATCCCTCCCAATTGAAAAAGACAACTGTGTCCTCAGTTGCCAGCCCTTTCCGCGTGCGCCTCCGTACCTCTGCACTTTACTTCTACACCTCCTCTGAGTCTCAGAGTGCTTTTCTCTTTCCTTCTAGTTGTAGAATTTCCACTCAGCCAGCCTTCCTGTGGTTCTGGATGATGTCTGTTTTGTCTTTTAGTTGTATTTTTGAAGTGATTGTGCGAGGCAGCACTTTCAGCTGTTTACCTATGCCGCCATCTTGGTTTCCCCCCAATCCTTCATCTTTTAAAGTGAGTCTTTATTAATGTTTGTACTGCTTTGCTCTTGTAGAAGTATCTTATACTTTAACCATTTTTTTTAAAAAAAACCTGCAAGTTCATTTTCAATTACATTTCTAGTATTCTACATGTTCTTTCAGGTTCCTCATTCTTTATCTAAAAGTATAGAAGACATTTTGTAATTTGGAAGGTGTTTGAAACATGGCTTATGTGTATTGCCCTTGCTGTGTTCTTTTTATGTTAGCAGAACCACGAGTCAACTTCATTAATATTTGACATTGAAAATTTTTAAAATCTCAGTAAAACTGCCACCTTCCACCTCTGCACTTATTTGAATTTCAATGATTGATGAGTTGTAGCTCAAAGCATGCATACAGGTGCCAGCACACTGGCTACCCTGTGAGAGGGCAAGTGGGTGGTGGCATTTTCAAGTTTTCCAGTGAAAGAACATTCAACATTTTGGTCTTCCCTCTTAGTTGGTATTCCTGTGGTGTGAGCAGCATTATTTCAGTAGAAGAGATTAAATGGAAAGGATTTTAAAAGTGAAGTGTTGATTGTTAAAACATTAAGAAAGAAATATTATGATTGTTCTTTATTTAAAGGACCTGTAGGGGTTTATTTTCCTATATTTATATATATGATTATAAACTATAGTGTCTTAAATTACTACAGCATGTACTGGAATTCCTTATATTAATGCAGCATTTATGACAAATACTTCTAATTTGCCTGGCATTGCATATGATGCTGATAATTTCTGAACCTGCTAGTTCAGGGTTTCTCTACTTTGGCACTATTGACATTTTGGACCAGATGATCTTTGTTGTAGGAGGCTGCCCTGTGCATTGTAGAATGTTTAGCTGCATCCTTGTTTTTACCCACTAGGTTTCAGTACTACCTCCTCCGAGTTGCAATAACCAAAAATGTTCAGACATTGCCAAATGTCTCCATGGAGGCAGTCATCCCCAGTTGAGAGCCACTGGTTCAGTTGAATGATTCAACCAGGGATGACCACTCCTTGAGAATTACTTGCCTGCCTCACCAGCATGGCTCAGTGGTTGAGCGTCGACCTATAAACTAGGAGATCGTGGTTTGATTCCCAGTCAGGGCACATGCCCAGGTTGCAGTCACAATCCCCAGCGTGAGGCATACAGGAGACAGTCGATCAATGATTCTCTCTCATCATGTTTCTATCTCTCCCTCTCCCTTCTATTTTGAAATCAATTAAAAATATGTATATTTTTAAATTACTTGCCAGAGTGGTTCCTGACTACAAATGGGAGCAGGTTATAGCTCTCCAGTATACTGGATATACAGGGGTTGGCAAATGTAGGTTTATAGTTGTTCAAAAAGGAAAAATAAGGAATATAAGAATCTACACTAATAAAAGACAAACATGCAAATTGACCATACCTTCACTATGCCTTAAGCCATGCCCACCAGCCAATCAGAGCGACTATATGCAAATTAACCCAACCAAGATGGCAGCTGGCAGCCACGGAGCTGGAGCGAGCAGGCGGCTTGGTTGTCCCTGGCGATGGAGGAAACCAAGCTTCCCTCCCGCCCTCCCTGGCCGGCTCTGAGGTCCTCTCAAGGCTACAAAGTTTCAATTATAGAAAGTAAATAAATCCCAGAATAAAAAAGAAAAAGAAAAAAAGGAGAGGCTGGGAGCTTCCGTCGTCGGGGGGATTGGCCAGCCTGAAAACTGACCTCAGCCCCTCACCCAGACTGGCCAGGCAACCCAGTGGGGACCCCTCACCCTAAAGGGGATGTGGCCAGCCTGAAAACAGCCATCAGTTCCTCACCCAGGCTGGCCA